TTTTGTCCTAATAATAAATTCAAATTGTGGGTTTAATATTGCTTTGCTACTGTACGATCTGTGCCTGAGGCAGCTCATTCGCACGGACTCATGTGTTTCACCTCTTGGTGTGAGCGCAGGGCAAGCAAAGGCGGTGCCCGTTCCCCTCGGTTTCTGTGCCAGCTGAAAACGCTGCGGGAAAGAACAACTGATTTGACGTATCTTATTTGAGATTAATCTTAAATTATATTTTATTAGTTTCATTGCTTAAGTGCATTTCTCTCCCTTCTGTGTCTGATCCTATAGGAACGTAAATCACAGGTTATGATTAAAAAAAAAAAAAATCTGTGTTCTCATGTTTGATCCAAATATGCTGTAGTGACAACCAGAAGTGGGTGAGAGGAAATAATTTGATGATTTCAGTTTCGTAATGGAAGTATTTTCAGGTTTTGGGGTTTTTAAGGCTTTTCTTCTGCTTATTGACGTTCAGGACAAACCAAGTGGTAACTACAGTTGCAGATTTTTTAAAAGAAGCAGATAAATTTAATTTTTGTTAAAAGCTGTTAGTGATTCTTTCCACCTTCCCCCACTTCCTTTAGGACATGAAATCCAAATGAGTGTATAGGACCCAGCACTTGCTGCAGCAGTGTAGTTTAATAGCAGTTGTCCTTTTTTCATAGGCGGCAATGATAAGCTAGAGTGAAGTGGAGCAGTGCGGGTGGCACGTTTTGGATAGAAAGAGGATGTGTGTATTGTCACAGGCGCAGCTGATCAGCCTAGACCCGAAGCTCGGCGCAGTAAAGGCCTGTGGGGAAGGTGCTACTGCAGGAACACGGCACTTTCTGAACCTGGGAAATGTGGGCTGTGTTACTGTGCAACTGTGCTAGACAAATACATCACTGCACAGCAGGGCTGTGCTCAGTGTGGGTACTGGAGCGTGTTGGGCCACCCACACCCGCCGACGATGAGGGCATCTACCCAGGAACAAACAAGTCATTCAGAGTGTTTGCATTTAAGCACCATAAGAATTTGCAGCGTCAGGAAAGATTTGTCTTAAATCCAGATTGTTTTACTCATAATTGCAGATACAGATGGCCTCATTGGTGTGGAGAGAAATCTCAACCGTGGAAATCTTAGATTATGCCCAAGTTCAGTTTGTATTCTGTAAATTTCTTGTGTTAAATACTACATTTTATTTTTTCCCCTCAAAGTATTTGCAGGCGCAGTTACCCAAATGAGGACTTTCTAATGCATACGGGAAATTAAGAAGTTTTCTGCACAAACTCTCTATATTTACTTGTTACTCGTTTTTGCCCTGTGCTTACTATACTTAGTTTTGGTTCACTGAGTGATATCACAGTAAACCTGGCAGTTTCCCAGCAGCCAGCCCTTTGCAGATGGAAGAACGACAAACCTGGCTTATAATGCCAGAGCCTCGCATCAGGAGGAATGCACTAAACAGATTTCCCCCCAAAGGAAACATGAGGAAAACATCTTGTTTTAAGAGAGATATTTAATATGTTTTTCATATTTGGAAAGCAGTTAATGTCTGGGAATGTCCTTTTGCTCCCTGGCCAGCACGATTAATATCACTTTTGATCTTTTTTTTTTTCTTTTTTAAATTCAGATTAGAAGTGATTTATCTGCAATGAAAGCAAGAGCAATTACTTACTCTGTATTAACATTTAAGATTGCTTTCTTTTGAACATTATTTTTGGGAAGGTAAAAGTTTTTAATATAAACATGTTTCAAATTATTTTTAGATTAGATATTTTATGGAAAAAGAGTTGAATTTTAGCATATGGGCAGTAAAACAGGAAGTCAAGAATTCAGGAAAAAAACACAGATGTAGGAAGACCAGGTAAAAATGTATTTTAAACTGATTCAAGCTAACTACATAGAATGCCTAATTAGGATGCTTCATTTATTGTGTCCTCGGTGGGTACATTTTTCTTTTTGCCTCAAAAGCCTGGGGCATACTGCCTACCGTACAACTAAGATTTGGATGCTAGGCTAAATCTGCACTGAAGGGACAGCTGATTGCTCTTGTCTGTGCTGATAGCAGTATATATGTGCTTATAGATATAAAATATGGGTTATGTGCAAGGCATTGTGCTGTTACGGCTTATCAAAATGAATTGAGATAAGCTCAGTAGTCATAAATGGCAAAACCTTAACCGTTCAGCTTGTTTTATAAAGTGTCAATAAAAACTTCATTCGGCAGCATATCATTGTATGTTTTATATAATGCTTATAAATTATATCTCAGATGTTTCAGAATGTGCTTGAAGAAGTTTGTTAGAATTTTTCTTGTAGCATTTTTGCCTGTAAAGATGAATGCCTCAGTTACCTGAGCATAACTGCTGCAGTCTTACTGGGAGCCACATAACCCTTTGACTAGATCTCAAGATAACAATGCAAATCATGACATTTTAATATATACACATGTATAAATATATATAAAACGCACACACACACGCATATATTCGTGTTATCATGGCGTCTTCCAGAGTCAGCAACAGGTGCAAAGTCCTTGAAGTCTGAGGATCTCTTGTTTCTGCTCCTGTGGGAATAGCAAGCTGTGAAGCTGGGATTTTCTCGTATGTAGAAAAATGCAACTGCCTGGGGCTGAACCTTGCTCTTTCAGCATTTTGGCATTTTAGGCTGTGTTTCTTCTGATGTGGAGTTCTGCACTGGAGAGAGGAGAGAAGCCCGTTTTGATTGTTGTTGTTTTGCTTTTTTGTAATTCAAATGTTTAAAGCTGAGGTTTGGGTAAGGTTATCTCAGCTCATGATAATTTTAATATTAAGTGTGATAACTGACAATCCAATTGTCATTGTTATGAGGGATCTGAATACACAGGTCAAAACTGCAAGTGTGGAAGAATGCCAGTTAGTATAAATGGTCACAGTTCTGTTAATATCAATAAGATTATCCTGATTTTACAGGAATTGAGGTGCTGGCCCAAATTTTTGGGCAGAATTTGGACAATGAGCTTTGTATAGACTTAATTTAATATGTGGCAAAAATTATATATCCTCATTTGATTTTTCATAACTTTTTGGAGATATTAGGCTTTTATTGTTTTATCTTTTAAGATTAAAGTCTGGCTTACAGTAATGCTGATGAGTATTTTTATATGATTCATTCTGGGAGACAAAGGAGTTCTTTGTATATAGGAGTAAGTTTTCTACAAATAACATTTCCAGAATGCATTGAGGTTGTTACTCAGATTGATATTTTTCACAAGAACTGAATTAAAAGGCAATAGAAATTTCCACTAACAAACAAGGACATTTTATTTGCACAATTGTTGGCTAGACATGAGAGCCGCCATATTGGCTCAGCTTGCATGGTAGGTTATCATACTTCTGAAAGCTTACATGGAAGTGTTATAAATGGTCTTATTAGGCACATCAGCTATTCGGGATGGGTCTGCCTTCTAGACAATGACCTTCATGAACACTTAGGGTTACATATATAAACTTAAATGTTATAGTAAAGAGGGCTTCATTTAATTCAACTTTAAAATTACAATCATAAGTAAAATCAATTGCAGTAAAAATGTAATTTTTAGAGAAATAAAGCTTTATTTCACTAAAATAATGTTTCAACCTCTTCTGTATCATGTGCAGCTCTCTAAATGTTTGTTTTGTGGAAAATCTTAACAAAATGAGCTCATGATCTGTATGACCCATTGATGAGGAAAAACAGTTACTAAAATTTATTTATGTGAAATAGTCAGATAAAAATCAAACATGCTCCACATATTTGATTTGTAGGAAAAGTGGATAAAAATTGCACAGCCTTGTACTTTAGAATAAATCTGAATTAGCTAAGCAAATGCACAGTCCAGATTAGGCCATAAAATGGAGTACTTAGTTATTTAGTAAATGTAGATGCCTAAAAGATTAGCATATTCCTATTGCTGTCAAGGTGCTTCTGCTTTCTCATTTAGTAGGTGCATGATGTTTTTGTTGCGTCTATATACTCCTTTTTATTATTGGGTGTGTATATTAGTGAAATACACAGTCATTAGACTTGTAAATATTTTATATCTTAAGAATTTGTATTTCATACATACCCATACATGTAACTATAGGCAGGATTTAGGAAGTGATGAGAATATACATAAATAAAAAGAGAAGAGTTTGCTGAGAGTTTGCTACATTTTAATGTTTTTATCAAAATAGCAAATTATTGTAAGGATATCATTACTGGTGCTGCTTACTTTTACATTTTAATTCCCCTTCAGTCACAGTAGCAAGTATTCTCAACTTTTTTAAACCTCAAGTGATAGATATAGATATATAGATATATATTTAGAGAGACTTGCAATAGCGTTTTTGCAACTTCTTTTGTTTCTCACTTAAGACTATAGATTATTATTGTGTACATCTCAAGATGATTGAAATCTATAATCCCATCCTGGGGAGTAAGAGCAAAATCTGATCCCACAGGTCGATATAGGACTCCAGCGCACACAACTTTTATCCTAAGCTTCACAGTGACAAAAGCAGTGAGTCTGTGGTAGCAGGGTTTTGTAGCTAAATGCGGTGATGGCAGGTGAAGCGTTGTGCCACGCAAAATGAGGGTGGCCTCAGCAGGGGCCGGAGGACACACTGCGTGCCTGCGGAATGGGGCAAAGCCGAGTCTGCTAATGAATGTGAATGTGAAACCACTGCAAAGTTCTTGTTTCGATCAGGGAAAAATCTGATTCACACATGTGTTTTACTTTGTCTTACTACATTGACTGTCTCTTATGGAGGTACTAGAGCTTTCTTAATTTCACAGTTTAACCACAGGAAGCCTTCTTACTTGGCTGTCAGAGAGAAAAAAAAAAGTATTAATTTATAAAAGAACCCGTATCACTGTCTCGGGCGCCCTTCAGAACAAAAAAGTCCATATCCAACGTTCTTAATTAGCATCAAAACAGATAAATCACGCTCAGCACGCTGATGTATTCTCTCATGGTACAGCTCTTTCAGGTAGACCTGGTATCCCAACTCTATCGCCATGTGACTTCTTAAAAACCTGCTTCTGGATGTTACAAAAGTTTTTAAATGAGTGATGAGATTACTCAAGAAAGAACGAACTCTGATCAGCTTACTGAAGAGTGTTGGAAAAAACAGCTAATTACTGTGTGGCACCTCCAAATCCAGAATAATCTGGGCTTCGAAAGACCCTTCACACTATGGCTGCGTCCATAGGAGGATGGGTAAGTTCCCTGCTGTGTCTCTAAATCAATGACTTCCAGCTTTTCTCGACCAAACTTCATCCAGATGCTAGGGAGAACTTGCGAAGGTAAAGACAGTGTAAAGAGGGAGGTGTTGAAAGGAGATAAAAGCTATATCCGACAGGCATCCTGATGTCAGCACTAGGTGGGTTGTCTGTGCATGTACTGCGATGAGTGCCTCAGGTGGACTGTCCTGCGAAAGATGACGTGATTTCCCACAGTAGCCGGCACTGCCGAGGAGATGAGCAGCGGCCCAACGCCAAGGTTTTTCTCCTGGGTGTCGAGCAGAGCTGCTCCGCAGCCTCATTTACCCTGGCCCAAACGAGGCCACAGCATAGTTGTGGCAGATGGTACGGCACTAGCGTCGCTCCTCCCACCTGCAGCCAGTTCAGTGCTAACTTTTTAGAAAAAGACACAGAAGAGTCCTTGCAGCAAGAAATAATTCCCTCTGAAAGGAGGTGCCCAGATTCACCAAGCTCTTAACCACGTGGAAGAGCTCATCTGGTCAGAAATGCGCAAATGCTGCCCTGCTGAAGGAAAATATTTTTTCTGTCTATGTAACAGTGCTGGATTGAGATCGTTTCCTATTGCAACGGGCTGGAAGTGTAGCTTCCAACAGCAGCGTCCTGATGTACAGAGAGTCTCTTAAAGGTGACTTAGATGCGAACCCATTGACAGTTGCAGAGCAAAAGATGATTAGTATTTTCAGGACAGCGATTCAGTGGTTGGCATAGGGCCTCATGTGGAGGGATCCAACCCACTGCTCTCTCCATCTCTGCTTTAAAGGACGTAAATGTATTTCTTTTGTTATTTCCTCTATTGAGGAGTCTAGAGACTAGAAAAGTATTCTGGGCAAATTAAGTGTGGCAAAGACCTATATGGGTAGTGAACAGAATCCGGTGGACTAGAATACATTAAATTTCGATCTTTGCTTTTTCTTCTAATCGTTTTCTGCCCCTGGCCATGCCATGTCTAATTAATAATAATGTCATATTAAGAAACAAGACTAATCTATTGAGTCCATAATGCATGAATGAGCTAAAAGGATAACCCTAAATTACTTCTTTCCTATTTATAGAAAATAGAACTGAATTTTTCATTTTGTATTAAGATTTTTCTTTCTAGTGTGATAGTACATTATATACCACATACATGATTTTCAAAGGGAACATAGTTTATCCTTCTCATTTGCTTAAAGTCTGGAATGAATAAAGAAGAGATTTACTTACACCTTCCGTTATATTATAAACTTACAGAAACTAGTTGGGCAGGAATATTGCATTGAGCTGATCATCATGCAATATCTTCAATGTTATTTTAAGCTTTAAAAGCCCAAAGCAGAGTGTCCACCACAACTGAGACAGAGATATCGAAAAGTGATTCTGAGTGATGAATGAGTTTGTTTAAATCTTACAAAGCAAAGGGGTCTGCTGGAACTCACCTGGGAATTGGTAGTTTTCCAGGATTTATTAAGATAAGAGTGACCTTGCCTTAGCTAAGGCAAAGAACCTGGCTCTGGCAGGAAAAAGTGGGATGAGGTTGCGATCTGTGCGGAGGCAGACCCCGCTTACCCCTCCTGACTCAGTGCTGGCCCTTTTGCTGAAAGCCACCTTTCCCTGTTCGGTCCCCGGATTTACTTCAGTCAGAAGAATATGAAGTGTTCAGATGTAGCTGCATAAAAGGCTTGATATAGCCCAAGCAAAATGAGGATTTAGTTTAAATCAGAAGTATTTGAAATTGGTCTTCAGTGAATGCCTTCTGCAAAAAATGTCTTTTAACTTTTGGAAGTCCATGCATATGTTAAAATAAAAGTAATGTGACTTCCCAATAATGTCCATTATTTGCTGCTTTAATTTATTAATCATCTTTGAAGAGTTGATAAAAACACTAAAACAAAAATGGTTTTGTTAGTGTCTCAGTTACTTACACCTTTCTTTAGTTTTTTAAAGCTGATTTTTCTTGCCTGATATCTGTTCATATATTTCTTTAAATAATTCAAAATCTGGATCTTAGTGTGAAAATAATGTTCCTTTTAAATTCCTTATGTGTGCATAATGGAAAAAAAAGGTTGGAGGTGGAATTTCAAATTTAGTACGTATCACAGTCGTCGTTGAACAAGGAAGGCAATAGAAGTGGCTCTTATAGAAAGCAGGTCTGAGTATTTCAAGCTGGAGTATTTGTGCATAAGTACTGAAATAATTCTAAGTTGGAAGTTTTTTTGTGATATGCATTTAATAATATAGAGCTCAAATTTGCAAGCAGTAATCTAAGTAATTGTAATCCCCCAAAATAGGCTTACTGGGCTATGTTTCCTCTTTGTCTTCCTTTGCCAGCTGGCATTACTCTCTCTCTGGGTACGGATACTGAGATAAAGGTAAGAGGACTCCTTACATGTGTGATCATTAGTATTTCTAGGTCCTGATTTACTGATGGATGGAGAGAAATGAGGGACTTCCTACTTTCCTTTGCACTGATTTAGGATTACCTGAACTTTGAGTTTGGCTTCTGTGTAGTATCTTATAAAACATGCAGTATTTTCTGCATCCATGCTACTATTTTCCTAGTTATCCTGTGTCCTGTTCCATCACTTACTGTAGAATTTGTAAAGTTGTGCAGGCCTAATGATAGGTGGCCAGTTTGCTCTTTTAATCTTTTAAATCTCTTGTTCTTGGCTTCTAAATTTTACCATTACTTTTAACATTAGATGTGCTCTTTTTCACTGAGCTGAGAAAATGCCCTTGCCAGCCTGCACAGCCTTGGCTCGCTGAGACACGAGTGCAGGTGTCACGGTTGGTCCATGTCCAGTTCAGGCTGGTTTTGAGGTGTAAGCTGGCCAGTGCCTTCGCATCAATTATAGCTTTTATGTCACCTCGCATCTCCCTGCGTATGTATGTGACCTTTCCCCAGATGCTGTTTATAACAGAGCTAGTGATGGGGCATGGATTACTCTCTTTTTTTTTTCCAGGAAACGCATAACTATCAGCAGTTTGTTGGGATACACATTTAGTTTTCTTTTCTCATTATGGATGATGTTGTATAGTGCTCTGCAAACCTGGCCTCTAGATTATGATAGATACATATCTTGGTTAACCGAGTCTGATTTGTTGCCATTCACATGACTTCTATGACGTAACTGATCTTACTGTGTGATCAGTCATTGTTATTGTTTTGGGATTAGCTAGCGGATCACTTTTGATTAATGCAAGCAACTTTTGCCGTGTAACATTTTCTATTTCAGGATGTTGAGGGCCGAAACCATCAGTCTCACCCATTTTGATACAGTTATTTGTTCTTCTCATTTGTAGTGTTCAGAGTGTAACTTCTGTAATGAGTTTATGCAGCTAAAACTATTCCTAATGGAGAAGATTGTCACCCATCTTTGTTGCATCTGTATTTAGTGCATTATAACTAATACTATAACCCGCATTTCACAGATCCTTTGTCTTTAGGCATGCTCATCTTTCCTTATTACAAAAGATGTTCTGCCTCGTGTGTTGCTCATCCACTTTGGGCCTATTTCAGTAACTGCTTAGGAGTTTCTTTCTTGTCACGGTCTTTGCTGCATTGCTCTTTTGATGCAATAGACCTTTTTTTTTTTGATGAGAACTGCTAGAATATTTTTATTGAACCTGCACAAATACCTGCAGTGTTTTACCCTCATTCCAGTTTTCTATCAGTGTTCATATTTCAGTGGACGGTGGGAGTCTGCCTCCCTCAGTGCTTTGGCACCGCAGATGGTCGCACCTTCACTTATGCTTCAAATCCATAGTGAATTAAAAAATATATTCTAAAAAGTGCTAAGAATTATGAACACTATAAGTAAGAGCAGCAATAGGAGAGAGATATGAATCAGATGTTGTGGCTTCCAGTTTTAATTTCAGTGAACTTTGTGGAAAAATACCTTAGATCTATTAGATATAAAAAGATGCTACTACTAAACCACACAGACCTGGCTGACTCAAGTTTTTGCTACTTCAGATGGTAGTGGTTCCTGCACTGGCTAATGGACTTTAAAAACTTTGAAATAGGTTAGGAAATCCTGTTGCCTTGAATTTGCTAAAACCCTGTTATATGTGAGTGGCAAAACTATTTGGAAAGAATGTCAATGAAATCTATTTATCTTCCTAATAGGAGTATGCTCTATTTCTAGAAAATAAAATGAGGCATTTTTAGAGAGTTTGGAAACAGCTTGTTCTTAGAGTGGTCCATGTAAAAATCCAGACCGCCTTAGTTCACGTGTGTTCACCTCCATAGGCATGGGGTCGAACGCTTGGAGACGCAACACGCCTTCACGTGTGCACTAATGGGCAAAGATGGATAGTCGAAGCTAATAGGGAGTTGGAGAGTGACTAATAATCAGATTTCTTTGACATTGGTAGTGCATGCGTTACGCCTCTTAGGGTGCCCATGCTGGTGTGTCCTCTGCCACGGAGATCAGGGCAGCGCAATGCTTGAAGAACCCCTGCTTTGAGGTAGGAGGAGGAGAAAGCTTTTCTTACCAGATAATGTAATTGTGTGGTACCTTGGTTTGATAAGTTGCAGATAGGTCTTGTGAAGCTGAATTGTAGTCAATGCTTAGGTGAATATAAGTTATGTGGTTCAGTGTTTTAAAAATAGTTATCACCACTATGCTGGCGTGTGAAAGTATACCTTATATATCACACATGCTACCTTTTATAAAGTATATAAACAGGGGTTTTTATCAGCTTTCCATTTACTGCTACATTTTGTTGTCTTTGCCATGGGCATTTAAAACTGAGATGTTCTAAAGAGCCCTGCATGAAATTTTAAAGAGACTGGACCTTTCATCTACGCAACAGCAGGACACCAGATATATGAAAAAGAAAGAAAGAGAAATTGTTTTTGAAGCAATAGCAAAAAAATAACAGTAGAAGCAATTATTTTATCAAAGGTTTATTTTCTTTCTTGTTTTTAAAGACCTTTTCTCAGCTGAAGTTATACCTTCTTATGAATGTTTGATT